AAGTTTCATTTCGAACCGCTCTCGAGAATTGCACCTCAGGACCGGTGTATCGCATTTTGTGGTCAATTCAGATCCGTGGCCGCCACTTCAACTTATTTGATACTGCCATACAGGCTACTTATTTCAAGAAGACTGGAGCCCTCGTTCGCACCCAACCTGCAGTGAACGCAGATTCTTCCCCAGATCTGCGTTCGACTCCCCCTCCCTCCTACCAGCGTTCAGGTGACAATGAGACCACCTTTTCTGGGGCAAGTTGGGCATCCCCTTCCAATGTGTCCTTCGGTTCCAGTGGACGATCGCTACCCCGCTGTGGAGATATACTTTCCTCTTAGTATAGGTTTTGAGACTACCTTCCCTGCATGTTTTGGTGATTGCTTACGGCCACTTGATCAAGCTCTGGTCTCGTCTTGGACTGTGTCTTCCTTTTTTGGGCTCTACGTCTTAAAAAAGACTGTTTCCTAGTCTCTGGTCTTTATGGCTACGCTTGTTGGCGGCTTCCTTTTCTTCACCCTTCAGGTAGAAGTGTCGTTCGTATGCGGCAGTCGTTTATTGTGCGCGCGCACGCTATATAATTTAGTCGATAAAATACCGTGAATGCTCACCACGATATGGTTGATCTTCGGAGTGGTGGTGGAAGACCTCACTTCCGGGTTTGGGTTCCCATCTGATTACGTGACTTGTCGGTCAGATAAATTCACACCTGTGTTGTTTACCAGCTGCGCCGATTACCCATTTCACCTTCCGACCTAACTGGTGGTCCAGGTCCAGCGACTGTATACTAGAACGCATCTTTTCCAGCCGGGTCTTGAGGGCTCACACCTAAAAAAGTGTCCCAGCGATCGAGTCGTCTTCTTCTCAATTACTTTCTGGGACTCGCATGTTCGTTTGTATTGGCCTAAAAAGTGTGTATAACCGACGTATCTTTTCCTCCTCCCTCGAAGATCCTATTTCTTGGGATTGTGCTTGGCTGCCATACCAAGCGTCTCATTATCATCCAAATTTGGTCGCCCCACGAGCAGGATTACTATCTTACTTCTAGATGCCCCTAGTATTATGTGAAAGAAATCTCCTATGTAGAGATAGAACGACTACGGCGGATAAATGCCCTTGGATGGCTGCTTGGTTCATAGTTATAGAGTTTTGCTAATCAATCAAGACGGATTTTGACCCCCTTTCACATTTTTTAATTCTTTATTTTCTCTTCATCCTCGCTGTAGGTGTCGCGACTCTCCGCTGCAAACCAGGAATTGGTCAGACGGCACCAAGAGGAGGCAGCTCGATTGCAGGCCCTCCTCCGACCCTTCACACCGACGGCCACTGGCCGATCTTTCCCGGTTTCCGAGCGGCCCCCTCTACTGCCACGTGCTGAACCGCTCCGCCACC